AATCAAAAAAAAAAAAAAAAAAAAAAAAAAAAAAAAAAAAAAAGAGTTGGCCTGGACTAGCTCTGGTACTGTTCAACTACAAAAGGTGCCCGTTTCCCAGCAGTACAAAAAAAAGAAAAAAGAAAAAAAGAAAAAAAAAAAAGAAAAGAGTTGGCCTGGAGTCCCTGGACTTCCTCCCTTGAAGTCCTCCGTCAGCTACTACAGTTCCCCCTTCTATCCCGTTAGCAAGCTTTCTGTTACCACCAGCCGCAGATCGGGGCTGAAGTTTCCCTTCCAGCTTCACCTTCACAAGTCCCGCCAAGTGCCAACGCCTCCAAGCATCAGGTTCACCAAATTCCATACCCTACTCTTCCCCCACCTCCACCTGCACCACAACAATCAGTTACCACGTCCATCGGTGAGAATGGGCTTCACTAGATCATGGGACATAAGAAAGATGTTTGTTTTTCCTTCCAAATGAAAGCAGGGATGTCGATTACGTACCCTCTGGTTGAAGTCACGTCACAACTCTCTCTCTCTCTCTCTCTCTCTCTCTCTCTCTCTCTCTCTCTCTCTCTCTCTCTCTCTCTCTCTCTGTCTGTATATGCATCATCGTCATATATATATATATACATTTATATTATATATATATATATATATATGACGATATATATATATATATATATATATATATATATATATATATATATATACCGCTGGGAAAAACAGAAAGGCAGAAAGGCATGTAGGGCGCCACGAAAAGGGTGGTGGCAAGATCCCTGCGATGCTGGGTAGAGAAGCTCTATCACGGCTCAAAGGGAAGAATAACTGTTAATGGGTTCATTTCCCAGCCATTCACCGTGACAGGATCCCTCCAGCAGGGATGCCCGTCAGCCCCGTCCCTCTTTGTAATTCAATTGGAAATCCTGCTGAACATGATCAGAACACACGAAAATTACAAGGGTCTGAAGATTCCCCCAAGCTTAGAGGTCAGGGTGTCGGCCCTGGCCGACGACTTTTCTGCCTTATCAGAAAAACTCAGTGCCCTCGTTAACAGCGCTCCACGAATGCATCACAACTTATGAACACGCATCGGAAATGAAGCTGAACTGGAACAAATCGGTCGCCCTTACCTGCGATAACTCGCCTCTGGCATTGGATCTCGGTATCAAACTGATCGCCGCAACGAACTCAGAAAGGTACCTGGGCATTATGGTCTCTTTTGGAGACTGTACGAACACCCAATCATCGATTATTGAGAACAGGATACGGGATAACTGTGCCAAATGGTCTGGTAGGAAATGCCTGTCCTTCATGGGAAGGGCACTAGTGGCCAACTGCTGTATTCTGTCCACAGTATGGTACATATTGACTTTTTGCCAGATATCTTCCACCTCAGCCAAACTTCTGAAACAACTAATTACCAAAAGTGGCATGGTGGAAATTGACAGAGAAGAAGGAAGACGGGGGTCTAGGGATTCTAGATCCCAAAACCCAGAACACGGCACTCCTGGCTAAATTGCCGGTGAGATTGTTAACTTCTACTGAGAACCAGCCCTGGATGCAGCTGGCCCAGGCTTTGCTCGCACAGGAGTGGGAACTCACGGATCCCGAGGCAGTTTGGCATGCTCTCCTATACTATCCGTTAGTCAAGTCTGTCAAATCCCCTACATGGGACCCGATTTTGAAATCGTGGTCCAAAATTCTTCCCTCCAAGGCCTCCACTCTAAACCCTCCTACCACTCTTGCTGAAATCCTATCCTCCTCCCTATTTGAAAACCCGGTTATATTGGACACTTCCGGTCACGTCTTCTCAGTGGCTAAGTCTCCAGGCAACTTCGCCAGAAAGTGGTTACAGAAAGGAATATGGAAGGTATCCCACCTGTGGGACGTTCAAACTTCGGATTGGCACACAAAAGAAACATTGAGAGGCAAACTGAGAGGACTACGGAATGTGGGGGCACACCGGCAGGCTTTGATTACAGCAATACCGAACACCTGGCACGAAATCTTATCAGCTCGCAACCGATTGGCACCCACGGGCTTATGGTGGAGAGATATGACAGCCCCAGAGAACTTTTACCAAGTCCAGAAGCAGAGCAGTATGGAAGCAGCGGAGGTCTCTGCATGGAAATACACCAGAAGTGTACTCACCCGTAGAGAACATGTTTTTCGTTAAAATAGGACATTATATTTTAAATTGGTACTCGCACACTATTAATTTTATGTTAAAATCGCTATGTTTTGGACCTGAATGGAGAGATGATGTTCTCGAAATTTTTTATTCTTTTCCTCACATTGTAGCTGATTCTAGTTTTTACCTTAGTGTTTTCGGGTTGATTGTGCAATATTTGGAACGTCAAACATCACATAGGCGGTCGGGTAGGAATTGAAAGTCCATGGCGGGAAATGTTGTGGTGGATGGAGTTCCGAGACAAGTGGATGGAGCAAGCTGTGGTGTGTTCATGTTGATGTATGCGACGTTGTTGCAACATGGAGATCGACCGCCTTTCCGGTTCTCTTGTAAAGATATTCCGCTTCTTAGACGACAATTAGCATCATGTGTCTTAGAACATTGTTGTCTTTGATGAATTTGATTGACTTTGAAACTTTTTTTTAAGGTGTTCCATTCGTTGATCGTTAAATTTCGTAAATCGAGACATTATTCAACTGTCCTTCTGCTAGAGGCATTACTTTTTTTTATCGTTTCGAGTTCGCATTATCTACGGCAAACTCAATGCATGTTCTGCGTCATGTATGAGCTTTGTAATCTATGTCACGTAATATTCCATGTTCCGAATTCTGTTCAAGTTGAAGAATTGTGTTCCATGTTTCGAATTCTGTTCAACTGGAAGTGCTAACATGATTGTGAAACTGGTTGGTGGATGAATGAGAAATTTCATCTTATGTGAAATTGGTCAGTGGATGCTCAAACCTTCTTTGCATGACCATTTAAAATGCGGATATTCATCGTGATGGAGCACAATTTAATCTAATTCAATCTAATTACATTGCTAATTTTGTTTACAAAAGTTCAACAACTATGGATGTCAGCAAATTTTCGCATTTGGGGCGACTGGGCGGGCATGCCCATGTACAAACACTGCAGTCAAAAATGAATTCGTAAGAAAAAGGACAGTGTCACAATATAGTTACTGCATCTTTCATCACATTTATGAAATTGAAGTTTGACAAGTTAGGATCACCGCACACTTCCGCACAGGGTTCCCTTTGGCGTGCCAATCGTTGTTCGTTTATGAAGTTTGACTAGTATGGATCCCAACACACTTCCCCACAAGATCACCAATATGTTTTTGAAGTTCAACAAGTAAGGATCCCAATACACTTCCACATTTGGGATTTCATTTATGAAGTTTCACAAGAATGGATCTCAGCACGCTTCTGCATGTGGTTAACCCCTGGATGGGCATGCCTACGTTGCTTAGGCTGCAGCCAAAAATTAATTCGCTAGAAAGAGGACACAGTATAATGTCCTATTTTAACGAATAACGTGTTAGAGACCTTTCCACTCTGAGTACGGACCTCACAGGCTGCTCAGAGGTCAAGGTCCAAAACTCAAGAAAACACAAACGAAGAGCACTCTTCAAACCGGTCCGGGACGGTACTCCCTTCTACGACTGGAAGGTGGATGAGCAAAATTTGGGGTGGCGTTTCACAGCTGAATCCTCAGAAGTAACCTCAATATCACTTTCAGAGTATTCCGCCCAGGTGGGATACAAACTCCATTCTAGGGCGGCAACCATGCAGTTCGGGATTCGGGAGTCATGGAACAGACGCTCCGCCAACTTACAGATCAGAGGACCGGACCTAAACTGGGTAAAGTTTTATATCTGTTTAATTCTGCGGATACTAGAGATTAAGTTGGCAAAACTACAATGGCTCGACCTTCACAGCTGTGTACCCACGGCAACATGGTGTGCAGAAAGAGGGATGGAGATTACAGTTTCTTGTGAGGCCTGTGTACATACGTCACTCGAGGATTCCGGATTTTGGGATTGGATTGCCAGACTTTGGTTCACAGCATATCAGGACTTCTCCTACTGGACCAGAGAGCTACTCCTGCTTGGAGATAGAACAGTCTCTTTAAGAGCTTGTATAGCCAATAAATTTCGTATGATAGGTTTCTGGGTGCTCTGGTTAGCCCGCAGAGACTGCAGATTTAATAATTTATTTTGGTCAGTTTCTCGTCTTCGAAATACATTCAAGTCCACAATTAGGAACTTAATTATGGCTGAATGGAGGAAGGTCAGGTATCACTTTCATGATTTATCAGCGGCCCGAAGCTTGATGATAAAGACTTGGGCTTCGGACTTCCCCTGGATCCGTTTCACAGAGAATAACCAACTAGTGGTTTCACGCCACTTGTGGGACGAGGTGAAAGACTTTGTGCTCCCCCATGATCCCGCAGCTATTCTTTTATGAAGATTCCAGTTATCTTTTATCGGTAGGGACGCTGGACCCGGTTTCCAGCACATGTTACTCCAGGTTGAAATGTGGGGTCCCCGGCCTCAAGTCTACTATTGCAATATAAAAGACAGCAATTTCTTGGCAAAAAAAAAAAAAAAGAGGGTGGTGGCAAGAACTAAAAAGGAAGGGCGCTCTTTGCGTCCGTGTAAACTAAGGGCATCGCCACACCACTCTCAAAATGTCCAAGTTGAGAATGAACTTCCCTTTAGAACATGGCCAGATGCATCCTCCACATTTTTGTGTTTTTCACATTTCGAGAGTGGTGTGGCGAGGCCCTAAGATGCAAACCTCAGGGACG